CATTACAGCTCACAGCAATCTCAAACTCTCAGGCTTAAGCGATTCTCTTGCCTCAGCTTCCCAAGTATTTGGGACTACAGGTACCTGCCACAACACACAGCTATTTTTTGGTTGTAGTTGTCAACGTTGTTTGGCAGGCCCAAGCTGGATTCAAACCCGCCAGCTCCAGTGTATGTGGCTGGTGTTCTAGCCGCTTGATTACAGGCACTGAGCCCCAAAAGGCTTTTCAAATGAACTTTAAGAGGCTAAAAGGACAGAGCCAAATAACAGCTATATTCCCACAATGAAAATAATCATGATGCTAGTGAAAAATAATTTGATTTTTACAAATTAACAATTTTTTTGTTTTTTTGGAAATAGAGTCTCATTTTGTTGCCCTTGGTAGAGTGCTATAGTGTCATAGCTCACAGCAACCTCCAGCTCTTGGGCTTAGGCAATTCTCTTGCCTCAGTCTCCTGAGTAGCTGGGACTATGGCGCCCGCCAAAAAAAAAAAAAAAAAAAAAAAAAAAAGAATATATTTTGCCTTGTTAACCTTTTATTTCTGTAAGAACTCATATTTTCCTAGTAGAAAATTCCTGTATTTTCCCTCTCACCAAAGAACTACGGAATATTGTAGTCAGGATTTCTAGGTCACACTGATGTATTAAATTTGAAAATGAGTCAAGTGTGGAGTAAGTGCATGCCTGTAGTCCCAGTTACTGGGGAGGCTGAGGCAGAAGGATCACTTGAGCCCAGGACTTCAAGGCCAGCCTGGGCAACATAGCAAGATCCTATCTCTCTCTTTTTTAAGATCCTATCTTTAAAAAAAATACATTCCATTCTTACTACAAAAAACTTACATTTTGTTAGGAAAGTCCACAGAAATACCAAATAGATAAAAATCAAGAACTATCACTACAAAAACTATTCAAAGGCTAAACTTTATTAAAATGTACACTAAGCTATCTATATGATATACTGATTCCCTAGACTTGGCTCTCAATATTCTTTTTCTTTTTTTTTTGAGACAGACTCTATGTTGCTCTTGGTAGAGTGCTGTGGTATCACAGCTCACAGCAACCTCAAACTCTTGGCCTTAAGTAATTCTCTTTCCTTAGCCTCCCAAGTAGCTGGGACTACAGGCACCCGCCACAATGCCTGGCTATTTTTTGTTGCAGTTATCATTATTGTTTAGCAGGCCCGGGCCAGGTTCAAACCCCTCAGCCCCGGTGCATGAGGCCAGCGCCCTGGCTGATGACCTATAGGCACTGAGCCTCAACACTCTTTTAACTAAAAACAAACCAGGATTTTCCAGAGAAGGAATGTCTGAAGTCCTGGAACTGTACTGTACTAAGAAAGACCAAATTACACTGCAGCTGAAAAAGGCTTTTTTTTTTTTTTTTTTGAGAAAGAGTCTCAAGCTGTCAGCCTGGGTACAGTGCCGTGGCAT